TGGTGGGAGGGCTTTGAGAGGGCGTCATCCCTTCAAGCAAGTCACGTTGATGACAACCACCTCCCACATTGATCGTGCCCACTGCCTTTGATCAATGAGCGCGCGCATTTGCTCATTGGAAGCGTTCATCTAAACTGCCCATAATGAATGTTATTTCCAGAACGCCGTTATCAGTCGATTGTCCGGATATCGATTTTATCGATTCACGGAACACAAACATCGTGTCATCAACGGTACGCGTGTCATCCGTGCACAATGCTCCGCAACAACTATAGAGTCCTTATCTTTCCGTCTATCACACATCATCGGCCTTCTTGTACACAGCTTGCAATAAAAATCTTTCATATACATCCATGACTGACTATAATAGACCTAGTCCATTTCAAAGTTCAGTTCTGGATAGCACTGGTTCGAACAGCGAGACCTGAGGTGTGCAGACTACCTGGTCCTTGCCGCCGAAAGATAAATTTCGCTACTGCTAGAGTATGGATACACTTGGACAGATAGATCGGCTCATAATATCAGTGGTTGTCCCTATTTCGCCACTCCACATTGGATCAATGGCGGCGATGCGTGACATAAAAACAGAAGGTATGTTGAAGGTGCCCCACCCATCTGCAGACGAGATATACCAGCGACCATGTGCCCTCCAGATCACCGAGACGCGGTAGATGATTGCGTACTTCACAACATGCGTAGAATGAGTTTGTACGTTCCCAATTGACTCCATCTTCGACATTGCGCCCTCATCCGCACAGCTGATTCCCCGATAAGAACTCTACGACCATACAAGTGATTTTCATGCTTTTTCGTCCTGCAGCTTCGTTTTTCACTGAAAGGTGGGCCTTGAAGGCGGAGTCTGGAGGCGGAGTCACTGGAAAAAAGGAGGCGTCACTGAACCTATATTGCGCTATAGCGCCCCTCCCTTACAATTTTTTGCCGCGAAACCGGTACAAGGTTGTTCGTCGCGGACCACACTACCCTCCCGATGCCATATTTTCAACTTCTGCACCTGATCGCGAACCGTACCTTTGAATAAATAAAGCACGGGATGCACGCCTAGCGCATAAGAATTCAGAGTACATCTATTGACAGATGTAAATCGTATCGTTCACTCCACACGGGTGCAACCTTTGGCCTCTTCTTCCGACTCTTGTCTGGAACTACAGTGCTTCGTTTCTTGAATACCGTTCAACCCTGAGCCCCCTTAGGGGTCTTCGACAGTTCTACCGCTCTTTTCCCGACTCCTGGGTCAGCTAACATCTAATGACTTTCACTCCCAAGTCCACTAACTGTAACAGGGTTACGCGGCTTTGGAACGTATCTTCCTGCTGTCGTATGTGCTGTGTTCACTGAGTAGTGTTTCACTACCTCTGTGACCACGACATCTTTTGAACCTCAACAGAGTCGCATTGAATGATGAAGCGCTCAGTGTCAATAATCGAAGTCGGTTGACCCTATCTATTTCAAGAGGAATCCCCTGATTTACTTTTAGGTTGGCGGGAAAGTTCTGTCACTTTCGAACTCAAAATACTTGCCCATTACCTGAAGAGGGGTAACCGGTAATGTGAGCACTTATACATCAAGGAGTGGTCTTTCTATTAGTACCACTCGCTTGACTCCTGCTTCTTCTTCTTCTGCAATATGGACAAGGATTTTATCCGCTACCATCGGCACCGACCCCTCCAAGCGCTTCCTCAAACTCTTTCTTCCACCACCCTGACGCCAGCATGATAGCTGCAGATGCCAAAATAATGGAGCTGAATAAGGACGATGCTCTCGGACAACCTTCCACGACGCTAATGCTTCAAAGCGGGAGCCTACAGTTTTGATGACGAAGTGAGGTTTGGGTTACCTGCGAACTCAGATTGAGGGAGCTGCGGGTCGTGAAAGTGCTGGATGAAGAAGCTGCTTCCTCGGTCAATGCGTACGCAAAGCAGCTACAAGATAAAGCGTACTCGTCGATCAGAGGGAAAAATTTGTCCGCACAGTCCGCCTTCAACATGACAGTGCAGCCCTCCGTCCAAAAAAGTTCGAGCCGAACCTCATGCAATAGAGCTGGATGGCTCTCCCCTTGCACTGGTGTAGCACAGACATTGCTCCTTCTAACTGCGAGTTGCCTCCCGTACTCAATCGTTATGTGGACGAGAAAACCTCCATAACCCGAGTTCAAGTCAAGATTGAGATGATGTCCAACTTTGCGTCGCGCCTCCCTGCATTGTGAAGCGATGGCATCCATGAGGTGCTCAAAAACAGGCAAGGACCCCGCAGTAACATTGCTGTACAATTTTGATCTTACACGCCTCTATAAAAAAAGCCTAATTTGACAGAACTTTCCCGCCAACCTGATACAATCCCGCAAGACCTATCGTTATCACCTACGTCACTTGGGCTTGTCAGCGGGGAATGGATTTCAACGCGGTTCCAGCTCCTTTCTCGCTACTGGTCAAACGCCCCACTGACACGCGCAACGAACGATGGAAAATGGACTCGCGCCGAGGCAAAACCCACGCCCCAACTGATTACAGCGATACTAACTGTGCCTTGATGAAGACCTCGCAAAAAGAAGTGCAATGAATTAGCGTGAGAAAGTGTCAATATGCTCGGAGTGTTCCTAGTCACGTATGCAAAGATAACAGTGGACACAAATATCTAAGGCAGTGTTCAGACTTCGCGACCGAAGCGCTGCCGTTGCAAATCTGAAGGCTGCCTAAGCACAAGGATTGAGATTTTTCGATTGTCCGACTTGCCTCAATGGAGGTTAATACTAACGAACAGTGTTGTCAGCAAGCCACATCCGAGTACTTCTACTTCACTTCTATTTTTAAGCACATGTTCCATGGCAGAAAAGCCAGAGTAACCCGAAAAACTATACGTAAGAGTTATAGAGCCCTTGAAAAGCAATTGCTGCAAACCAAGAATGTGTTCAGTCCTCACTGCCAAGGTGGGACCGAACTTGCCAAATTACAAATGACAATGTGTCTCATTGAACCCCCCTGACCTGTGTAAAAATTATAAACCCACGGGTCCGTAAGCACATAGTACCAACTTTGCCGGCTCTTTTTTCATGTGTCAGCAGATGCTAATTAGCGAGCCAAGAACGTGTTGTGTGTTGGGAAAAACTGCCACTCGAATACTCACTAATCAAATGACTAGAAAAACTTCAACAGTATAATATGTATATGTTCTTGAACAAATATAACAAATTTGTATTCCAACAAAAACAATAAGCTTAAACAGCCTCTTCCTTGGTGATCTTGACTGGCTTTCCTCCACGAATTCTTCCTGTACGACGGGCAGCGATGAGACCGACCTGAACAATAGTGATTAGGGTGAGATGGAGAAGGGATACACCACAATCCATTTGGAAGAAAAGGAAAGGTCAAAAAAGCACAGAACGCCCAAAAAAAAGAACGTGTAAGTACCTTCGCTGGTAGATAAAGCACACAAATGAACGCTTGGGGTTTT